GCCTTTCAAAGAGACGTTTTTTTTTAAAGGGGGCAGGGTTACTAGGTTTATCTGCGAAATAATCACCAGGATAATGATTGACTGTATTGCCAGACCTAATGTCAATAATCTGCATTGTAAACATGACACAAGGTGGCGTCATATCCATGTCATTCATGTCAGTGAATGTACTACTTTGTATTTACCCTCTGTATGTGTTAAGTAAATAAAGTTGCCTTGCCTTGAATGAAATTCACGCAACTCTTAATATTAGATACTGTGTTTTTAAGTGGCGATGGAGATTATTTATTGACCCTGCTTTAAAGGATATTTTGTCTTTACAAATGGTGCGCTTTATCACTGCCTGGGTTTTGGTTGAAGTGCGTTTTCGCGTTTGGCTCATTTTCCACCCCACCTCACTCCTCGTGCTGAAACCTACCAATCAGAGTAGGGGCGGGTCTTCACAGAATACGTTTGGGGAACAAAATCAAGCTATTTAAAAGGCGAGTGGATTTTGGCAGGCAGTGAGTGCGGACCAACGATTGAACGATAAAAAGAACGGCTCTCACCAAGTAGGACTCGGTTCCCCTCGTTCGTACCAAAGAGCCGTTCAAAAGAATCGGCTCGTTCGCGACCGACACATCACTAGTAAAGGTCCTTCATAGACTATAGCATTCATCTGTTTGCATCTTACAATTGATTTATTACTACAAAAACAGTATGTCATTTCACTGTACAGTATTTCATCTGACATCCTGTTCTTGTTTATCTGATTCTATATACATGTGTATAGACTCCTGCATTGACTTGTCACTTACAACATTCTCTGCATTATTTAGATTACTCTATTTATTTGATCTGCATTTCTTGCACATTGGTCTTGCACTATTTTATTCTACTCTGTTTCTTCGTGCAAACTGTTTCTTCTATTTATTTTTAAATTTGTTTTATTGTTATGTTGCATTGTTGGAGGAGCCAGGGACTTCAGATGAGAGCTACTGTGCATCTGACAATAAAGCCTTTGAGTCTTTGAAGGAGCCCTTAGAGGTCTCTATTGGAGGCGTTCTCACCTGCGCTGCGGTAGCTCAGGTCTCCCAGGATCTTGTCTCCCACTTTGCGTAGTTTCCACTGGGAGCGGAGGCGCAGCAGCTCAGAGTTGAAGTCCCTCTGCCTCCTGTTCTCCTGGTTCTCTGCTACTGACTTGCTGAGCTTCTCTGCTCCCTTCAGGAGGAGCTGCGCTGCCGCGCCCAATAACTTCTTTTTACTGATCAGCTGGAACACCTGGGGGGTCTGCACAAAGCAAGGAAAGCTGTTGTGCATTGGAAGTCATTATGTAGAAAATAAACCGGTTTTCTCTTCACTATAATGCTTTTATCAATCTAGATTGTTTTGGTGTGAAACTAGATGGAACAAAAAAACAAACATATGAACAGTCAACAGTCAACGAGTGAACACGCACTTCGTGTCCATGAGTAGATGCACGCTTCATTCTGCATAGTGATACAATTGGTGGATACATACATATGAGAAGCAAACGAGCAATGTCTATTATCAGAAATCATGACTTGATTACTTCAGATAGTCTAAATAACACATTGTGAGCAGAATTATGTAGGACCAAACTACGTCCACCAACCACTGTGCAAGTGAGTCCATTTCCAATTTAATGGAAAGAAAGCAATATCTAGATTGATAAAAAGCACTTCATGTGAATATATATACTTTTGAATTTGGGGTGAACTGCCCCTTTAAATGATAGCAGTGATAATGATATTCTCCCGTTGACCTTGTTAGCTGCTGGGTCCTGAGACACTGGGTCTAAAGCCATGTACTTCTTCTCTTTCACCACGCTGAGCACGTCGTGCAGCACACACATCTCCGTCAGGGCGCTGCGCAGGTTGTTACGCACCGAGTCCCAGGGCCAGAGAGACGGCTGGAACTTCACTGTGCCTGTGGGAGGGAAACACAAATCAACTTTTCATCTAAGAAAAACTCCATCTATGTGACTGAAGCATTGCTAACTGATAACAGGAAAGTGCTACAGAGAGACTTAACGTACCACCTTAAAGATCAGTGACCATGGAGCGGAAAATGTGAGGAAACCTTATTATGGAAAAGTCAACTTGCAACTGGTCCTGCATTTTAGGTTCAAGCTTATTATATACAAAAAATAACTGAATTCACAACATCTCTAATGCAATATTCAGCTCATATTTTCCTCTAAATGTATAGAATTCCCTGATATTGCCTGGTGTACCCTTTATTCAACCCAATGAGTTGATTTGTATCTGAAGCACATTTCAACAGAGTGTAACAGTGATGATCAGTCTTGGCTGTGACACAGCTGCTCTGCTTTCTCTGAGCATACGTTACCTTCCTCTTCCTCGATCTCCTGCTTGTTCCAATCGCGGTCCCTGGGTTCACCTTCGACCTCATCCTCCTCTGAGTCAGATCCCTGGCTGAAGTCTATTCTTTGTGCCAACTTCGCCAGGTTCTGGGACATGGAGAGAGGAGGGACGTA